ACTTTTAAAGATATTTTTTTAATTTTTATTTTATTTTATAAGTTTGTAAGGTAAGTTTGTTAAAAATTATTTTTTCCCTTTTTCCCAACTTTTTCAGTTTATCGTATAAATTTTTAATATTTAATGTTTTTTTAACTTTATAAGATTTGTAGTTTATACTTTATAACTTATACCATATAGTTTAAGTAAGTTAAGTTTGTTTTAAGTTTTTTTTTTAAAAAAATGTATAAGTTTGAAGTTATTAGGTTTATAATATTTGAATTTTATAAATTATAAGTTTGTAATATATAAACTCAAATAAACAATAAACAAATGCATTCATGAAAAAGTATAAAATAAGGATAAAAATGTAACACCACAAAAATTTTGAAGCTAAGACTCGAATAATTCTGTAACACCTCACAACTCTACACTTCAAATCTGAATCGTTTGTTGTAAATATATGAGCTTGAACCGGGTGCTATCCTATCTTCTTATGTATTTTAAAGTCCTTTACCAAGTGTATCAAGGGTACCTAAAGTGATCTAGGGTCATGAGGGACCTCAAACACCAAGCCAAGTTCAAAACATTCTTATCGGCTAAGTTCTCGCATGAGTTCATAAAAAGGTCAACTTCAAATGACCATATCTCTCATCATATAATGAATTAGGTGGCTTATAACTTCTCAAATTAAAGTTCTATGAGTCTTATTTCCAACGCAACAAAGTTTACCTTTTTTCTAGTTTAGAGTAAAAAGTTATGATCGTTTTATTGGAATATACCAGGGCAAGGAAATTAGGCGAACTCAACTGCCCAATTGGCAATATGCCGAATGGGTTAGAGAATTGCCGAATGAGCTGTAACACCCCAGAAATTTTTTTGAGCTAAGACTCGAACCATTTGTCATTGTGAGTAGGATTTTACTAAGGAATTTAAAATTTCTTAAGTATTAAGGTCAGGTCACTAGATGTAGCATCTTGTGTTTCAAAAAGAACTAAATTGGACATAGCAAAACTCTGAATTTTTTCAAGTTAAGCTAAGTATGAGTTTTGGGTTGACTTTAAATCACCATAACTCGTAGATCAGGATGAGTTAGGTGTTATACAAGATACCTTAGGAAATATCTCTGAATTATCTTTCCAATGCCACTGAGTTTGCTAAGTTTCGATATCGTATGAGGGAGATATGTCCATTCGAAGTTGGGTTGTCTAGATAAGGAAAGTCAAAACCGGATTTTAGAGGGGGTTATTTTGGGTCTTTTCCTTACCCAATCTAGATTTTATTCGTTTTTAGTAATATTTTAGGGGTCTAATATGATTAGGTTCAGTTTTTATAATCCTAGTTTATGCCTAGGGTTTTTAGTTGAGAGTTCAAGAAGAGAAAACAAGAAGAGAAAAGAGGAGAAAATAGAAAGGATCGAAGCGTTCGTCGAAATTCTTGAGAGTTGTTGCGGGTTGTCGCCATGGGTTTGATCCCTAAGAGGTATGTAAGCTTTCATAGTGTTGGGCTTGTTCACCCACATGCCAAACATGTTATTTTCAGCATAAATTTCATTCTTGAAGTTGAAAGATTTGAGTTCTTGATGAGTTCTTGATAGGTGTTCTTGAAGTTCATTCTAAATCTTGTTGTGTTGGGTTTGGATGATTTTCTTAAGATTAAAGTGATTGTTTTTAGGGATGTATTGAGTAGATTAGAGAGTACTTATGTTAAGTAATCGAATCCAAGTGATTAGGGAAGAAACCATTCGATTCTAGGCGAAATAGGGTGAGAAAACGAGCAAAGAATTTAGTTGGATTTTCTAGGTTGGGGACTGGCACGATGCGCCAGCCAGAGCGCCCCAAACCCTCCTCTGAAGTTTAGGGGCTGGCGCCCCATGCCACCCATAACGCCAGGGTCGGCTGCCCCATCCAGTTTGTCATCGGTTGCCCCGTTTGAGTTCGTTTAAAGTGCACCTTCAGTCCTTTTCGATTCTAACTACTCTAAGCTACTTCTAAACACCTAAAATCATTCCTAACATGATCATAACCTTGAATTCATAATTCAAATTCAAGGGAGAGTTGAGAGTTAAGTTTTGAGAATTCTTTCAAACATTCTAAGAAAGTCCCTTTGAGTCCTTTTGTTGAGTCTTCTACAACTTCTAGTAACTTGTTTCAAGACTCGAGCAAGTGAGTGTGAGAATGAGGAGAATGTTCTCATGAGTCTACTTTGTCATCATGAGATCTTTCATATCGTGAACCATAACTCTTGAATTCATAATTCACATTCAAGAGAGAGTTAAAAGTTGAGTTCAAGAAAGCCATTGAGTTCAATTGTGAATCCTTTGAGATCAACCATCGATTTGAACTAAATCTTGAGGTAGTAAGTAAAGGAATGAGAAGTTTCATATACATGAGCTCCATGTAGTTTGTAGACCATCGAGTCAAGTCGTTGATGCCCATAAATTCCGCATGAACTACATAAGTTGAGTATCTATGAGAGGGGTAATATCTCCATGTCCTAAGTCTTAAGTATTGAGTTTCTAACCTATTTGAGATAATAATCCTAATCATGGAACTATTACCTATTACCCATGAAGTCTATGAGTTGAGTTGTTCATGCCCATAATTCCGCATGAACATTATAAGTCGAACAATCTTGAGATGAGAAGTATCTTTGAGTCCTTGAGTTGAGTAGTTCATGCTCATAAATTCCGCATGAACCCTCTGAGTTGAGCATTCTTGAAATTAGTAGTATCATTGAAGTTCTTGAGTTACAAGTATTGAGATCTATCTATGGTTATTGAAAACCTTGCATCGAGTCGTTCACGCCCATAATTCGGCATGAACCATATTTTAAGAAGTCCTTTACAAATGTTTTAACTTTGTTTTAAGGCCTAAGTTTTGAGTTCAGTAAAGAGTAAAAGTTGAAGTTCATTTCTTCAAAAGTATATGGGGACTATGTATTCCCAAAAGAGTTTAAAATGTTTTCACATTTAAATAAGAACGGAAAACTGAGATTTTCAAAAGAGCCTCTGAGCTAGTTTTTCAGTATAGAGCCTTTTGGGCTAGTTTTTCAGTTAAAGAGTAAATGCTTTCACAATAAAGCAATAGAGGAAACTGAGATTTCTAAGATAGCCTTTGAGCTAAGTTTTGAGCACTAATCTCAAATCACAGAAGAAGTATGTTTTATTTTTAAAAAATAAGAGCTAGTATATTTTGGGAGTAGTATTTTG